GCTTCATGCTGCTTAATGGAGAACAGTATTTTGGAGATTATGCAAGCTAAATCTTGCACTTGATTTTTCTCATCAACACATTTGTTTTTTCAGATGTGAGGATGAAGATTGGAAATTGGTAGCCCTATGTCTTTGGAACATACTAACAGTGATCAATTTCAGAAGAAGCGTATAAAGATAAATTTCTTCAGCGCTCTGGAGTGCCAAATCAAGGCATCAAAATAAGGTTTGACTCAGTCAAAGTGATGACTGGCATTCATCAGAATGAAGTCAAGGTGAAAGACAGCTACAAAGATAGTTTTTTGAGTCTTCACTTGAAAGATAGTGCAGGGTCCTTCCATACTCCAACTATGTATTTGAAAGGAAATTGTTCTAGTCCCCAGACAGAATAAAAGTGTAAAAGAAGGCAGTTATGAACGTTGAGTACTTAGCATCAGTCTTTACTCACTGGCAATAAACCTCACAAAATAAAGCACAGTCTTGTCACCTAACTTTGGGGAAACTGATTATCTATCTGTTTGTGCCTCTGTTTCCTAAATGTGTGAAGAACATATCAGTACTTTCCTTAGAGAGTTGTGCAGATGTAATACATGTTAAGATCTAGCACTGCCCTGATGTTTGTAGGTTTACAATACATAAAAAAGTATTATTGGTTTTCTTTAAAAAAAAAACTGTATTAAAGAGATCAGCAGTCACCATTTCTGAAGTTATCGAGAAATAACTTACAATACATGTATTTTTGTTTTAGTAAAAGAAATATAAGCTTTCTAGAATGTCTTCAGACCTCAGAGATGGTCAGGGCTCTTCCAAGGAAGCTTCTGGATGGATGTTTTATCCGTAGTCTCCTAAAACAGGACATACGATAATGTCATTGCAAGCCGGCTGGCATCTAGCACAAACTTCTACAGCAGGCAGTGGGGGTTAGAAGCAGAGCTGCATCTACAACCAAAGCTATTGTGCACACCAGCAGCTGCACACAGGGAGGGGCGGTCAGCTAAATCTGCATTAGCAAATGACTGTGGTACAGTACCTTTTCATCTAAGATCACTTCCAGAAAGTGAGGCGCCCTGGGAATCTGATCAGAGGTGACTGATTGACTAGACTGGATCATAACCCAGTCATGGAAGCGAAGCTCTGAGTCACTCCTCTACAAGGGTCAACATTTCCCCCGCCGTGCATCACTGATGGCCCACCCATGGAGTCCGACTGGGCACACAAATCCCATGGGGCAACAAATGAAGTTGTCTCTAGAAAAAAACTTTCCCATACAAGGTTCACTTTGCTATAGATGCACAAGGAATGCAGTGATGTCTCCAGAGCAGTTTTCTGGTTCTGGAGTCCCAAAATAACCCACAGATAATTTCAGGCAGCATACAAGCAGTTCTTTAGTGAAGTGATCACTGGCGACTTATGGGTTGAGACATATTTCTTGTAGCACTTCCTTCATGCCCAAATTCTCATATTCCAATGCCCATCTCACCCAATAGGTTAGAAAGGGAAAACATCAAATTTCTTAGAAATATATGTTGAACCATTGACATGAATGAAACCAAACAAAATGTTCTGCAAAACAGTCACAGGTTTTTCACTTAAAAATTCCTTAATATAAAACATTCTAAGCATATAGAACATATAGAAACTAATATAACATGCACCTATATTTTCAATACAGTTTAATCAAACCATAATGGTTTCCATATTTGCTTAAAATATTTTAAAGGCGATTAAGTAACATAAGTAGAATTGAACTACCCACTCTTCCACCTCTTTGATACTTCCCTTTCATCCTCAAAAATAAAAAATGTTATCCATCCAGAATTTGGTATTTATTTCTGTGCATATATACATGACATTATTACATTTGTGCCTACAAAATATTTAATATATTCACATTTTAGAATAATATAAATTGTGTTAGATGTTATTAATCTTAATGCAACTTGCTTTACTTGTTTAAGTTTTGTTAATCACTGCTATTGTTTTTAACAGCAGAAAATTAAAGTAAGTTACAAATAAGAAGCTGAGTAATATAACTTGTGGCACATTTTTATAATACAATGCCATACAAATGTTTTTCAAAGAACTAGCTTTATGCTTTGCACAGAATTTTTTTGCAATATATTAACAAACCTGTGAGTATTTAAAAAGGCATGTTTATTAAAAGTGGAATGGAGCTGGATTTTGGATTTTATTTTCCTTATCCAATTAGATAATCTCTGTATTTTAAAAGCAAATTTAAACTACTTTCAATTATTGTTTTTACTGATATTTTTGGGCTTATTTGTACAATCTAATTTTGTTTTTGTGTTTATTATTCTTGAATCTTTGCTGCTTTGTCTTCTTTTTGCTTTCCATTAAATTGATGTATTTTGTGTACCCTCTTTGCTGTTCATTTGTTGATTTAGATGCTTGTTCTAGTCAGCACATGCTGCTACCACAAAGTGCTCTGTCTGGATGGCTTATAAACAATAGAAATTTATTGCTCACAGTTCTGAGCCTGGATGTCTACGATGACAGTCCCCTCATGGCTGGGTTCTGGTGAGGGCCCTCTTCTTTTAGTTTACACTATCAACTCTTGTTGTATCCTCATATGGAGAAAAAGAAAAAGCTAGTTCTCCAGGGTGTCTTTTATAAGGGCAAAATCCTATTTATGAGAGCTCTACCCTCATAACACATCCAAATGTGATTATATTGGGGATTTGGTTACAACATATGAATTAGGGAGGGTCACAGACCTTCAGTTCATAACAATGTTATAGGTTATATTTTAATTAATTTACTGATGATCCTTTGTGTTAAAAAGTTACAAAATTACAAAATTCTGCTGAAAGACAAAATATAATCTTAGCACTTCTTAATTCCATATTGAAACATCCTTCCTTCCATACACAGCTTCTCTTTCCTATTTTAATACAAAAGCTGGACATTATTTCTATGTCCACTGGTTACATAATTTATCAACAAATTTGATTTATTTGTGTTTATACCATGAATTCTTATATCTCATACCTTTGTTTTGGGTTACTTTTCTTCTTGAAGTATACCCCTTAGCATTTTTTTAGCAAAGGTAAATTATATAATTGTATACCTCAAAATATTTTCATTTTGCCTCCACTCATAACTAAAGTCAGTTGAGCTATTTTAGCTATTTTACATTGCCTTATTCCGTCCCCCCACACCCAGCACATGGAAGATACATTTCCATCACCTTCTGGAATCTACTATCACCAATGAAAATTTTGCAGTCAATTGGTTGTTGGTTGATTACTTGCAGCTGCCTTAATATAACTAGCTTCTCATACCATTTATGAATGTTTATACTTTTGATGTAAATTGGGGCAAACTCCCATGATGTCTTTAGGTATGCAAGTTGTTTTTATTTAGATATGGTAATTGAGGCTCATTTTTCTTCTAAGAGTTTTAATCTTTCTTCACTTTTGGGAAACCATCACCTATTTATTGAAATATTACTTTCTCACCACTCTTCATATTCTATTACAATTCCTGGGAACTGTAGTCATTTATCTGTGTTCCATGCTCTCCCACTTTTCATTGATTTCTAATTCATACACCATAGAAATCACCCATTTGGGGTATACTACTCAGTAGTTTTTAGTATATTCACAAAATTGCACAACCATCACCACCATCTAATTCTAGAGCATTTTAATCATCTATAAAATAAACCCATGCTCTAGAGAGGACACACCCCATTTTCCTCTCTGACAACCATCAATCTACTCTCTAACTCTAGGAAATAGCCTATTCTAGATATTTTATATAAATGGAATCATTTAACACATGTTTTTTTGCCATCTGGCTTCTGCTGAATAAATTTTTTCAAGGAGCATCCCTGTTGTACAATGTACCATATGTTACTGGCTTGGAATGTATATGACATTTTGTTTATATAGTCATTAGTTGATGGAAATTTAGGTTGCTTCCCTGTTTGGAATAATATGAATGATGCTGCTGTGGACAAAATTTTTGTATGAATTAACTTTGCAATTCTCTTGTATATAACCCTAGCAGTAGAATTGCCGGGTTGTATGATCACTGCACATTTAACTTTTTAAGGAACTGTCAAATTTTTCCTAAGTGGATATATCATATATATATCATATTATATATAGCTACATAAATGCTAAATTATGAATAAGTTATGTAATAGAAATGAGTGAATCACTGAAATATTTGTTAACTTACTAACACATTTAAATTTTTTTCATTTACCTTTTATAGCCTTTCTTTCCCTCAAAACCAATATGTTTTTCCAAGTTTTACTATAGTTAAACTCTAGTTGGGAATGTAAGCCTATGCATGGATACAGAATGACTAATGGGTACTCCCCACATTAACTACAGATGATGCTCTGTACAGTAGCTACAGATGGTCACAAATGCCAAAATTCCCTAGTACATGCTGGAGGGTGTCCGGGTCATATATCCTGCCATTTTCCTCAACAGTAGAAATCAGCTATGTCCTTACTACAATACTGTGTCAGTACTCTGTATTAAATGTACTAACATTATTTCTAATTCTTATTGGAAAAATGAGACAGGTGAGAAAACCAAGGTTCCAGGAAGATGGAGAAGGGTAGATGAGGTTGCAAAATTTGATCATGACAAAGCTGGACTTGAACCCAAGTCTTTCTCTCACTTAGATTCACATTCCTTCCTGTGCACCATCTACCTCTCAGAGGCAGATGCTTCCAGATGAATATCTGGAAAGAGTGAGATTCTATTGTTTCCATTGCTGAGTGGAAGATACTGACAGCCAACCATGGAACTATAAAGACCATTTCTAGAAGTGGTCTTCTAGAAATGTAGACACAAATGTAGACAACTGACAATACTCTCTGATAACATGGAGTAGACTAAATAGACAGGGAGAGGGGTTCTCAGTTTATCAACAGCTATACTCAGCTCTCGAAAAGCCACCTCTTCCCAGTACCTTAGTATCTGTGGTACTAAGATAATGGCAGAATGTCATTTACTCACCTGGCAAGGTCAGTCGATTTGCAGAGCTAGTGCTGGGGGCTGGTGAGCCATGAGAACGCTTCTTTGTACCTGTGAAGAGGAAAAAATGGATAAGAAAAACTAGGGCTGTGGCTAGACTTGTTGTACAGGCAAATGTTTACCTGAACAGTTATCAAACATTCCAAAAGTTTGGGTATAAAATACTATTTAGAAGAAGACTGGGTAAGGTTACATTGGCAAGTATTCTTTGGTCCCCTAAAGCAAGGAGTCTAGCTAGCTTTTACTTTTGGGTGAGGACTGTGCTTGTTTTCCCAGCTAGCAGGTTGAGGATCAATGCACCTGTACCAACCTATAACTTGGTGTCACCAAGGAAGCTTCCTCAATATGCAGCCCCCTGGGTGTCCCCCAACAGATGCCATTGAAGTATGCTAGGGTGGAGCCCAAGCATCAGTGTTTTTAAAGCCCTCAGGTGATACCAATACGTGTCTGTGATGGATAACTACTAGTTGAGAGGGGGAAGTTCTGGATTTAGAATAAAGGAATCAGGAGTTTTGTCCCTGCTTTGGCTACAGCCTTTCTTTGCTATTGGACCTCAATCCATGAAATGGATCTCTCTGGGGTTTGGAATTTCATTTGAGAAATTAGGTAAATAAAAATTACATCAAAGTATCTGGTCAATATTAAAGAATTCAAGGGCTGGCAGAGTGGCTCAAGTGGTAAAGTGCCTGCATAGCAAGCATGAGGCCTTGAGTTCAAACCTCAGCATTGCCAAAAGAGAAAAAAAATGAAGAGAAGAAAGAAAGAAACATAGTTACTAAATAAACAGATTAAAGACTCCAAGGTGTGTTGGAGCACTAAGGAGCTACTGGGGCATACACAAACACTGGCAGTGGGGTCCCTGATTCCTGGTAGCTGGCAATGTATTCTTCTTAGGAAGGGGATTATATTTGTCATGAGGGAATGAAAAGGGAGCCTCCAGAGTTGGATCAGTAAGGAGATGGCAGAACAAAGGTATAAACGGATAGTTGGACTGTTCTACAAAAGAACATTTATATTTATATTTATACACATGTCTTTATATATTATGGGTTACATATACAGATTATTATGGATTATATATACAGATTATTATGAGTCAGGTATATAGACATATATATGTACATACATTTTATGTATTTAAAAAATACAATTCATTCATTCAATTTTGCCATCAAGAGTGAGCAGAAAGAGGGCTAGAAACCAGAATTCAGCAAACCAACAGATGACTGTGGTCTGAGTTGACTGAAATGCAAGGAGAATTCTTAAGCAGAGGTTATAACAAGTCAATGTTATTTCTGTCATGAGTCCCTGTCAAATCCCCAAACTTTTAGTGAAGTTTACTTTATATGCAGAGGCCTGGTGTGTGTGTGAATTTTGTTAATGGAATAAACCCTGTTGGCATATCCAGGAACTGTAACAAGAAGATCCACTGGCTGATCAGCATCAAGAGAGGAAGGAACCTGAGTCTGCAGGGAAGCAGGCAAACAATGAACTTTCCTTACCCAGAATCCCTGGTGAGGAAGGAGGAAATGTACTTTAGATGGTGTTTGATCTTTTTTTTATTTTTATTTTTTATTGTTTTATTATTCATATGTGCCTACAATGCTTGGTTCATTTCTCCCCCCTGCCCCCACCCCCTCCCTTACCACCCACTCCGCCCCCTTCCTCCCCCCCCAATACCCAGCAGAAACTATTTTGCCCTTATTTCTAATTTTGTTGTAGAGAGAGTATAAGCAATAATAGGAAGGAACAAGGGTTTTTGCTGGTTGAGATAAGGATAGCTATACAGGGCATTGACTCACATTGATTTCCTGTGCGTGGGTGTTACCTTCTAGGTTAATTCTTTTTTTTTTTTTTTTCATTTTTCTTTTATTATTCATATGTGCATACAAGGCTTGGTTTATTTCTCCCCCCTGCCCCACCCCTCCCTTACCACCCACTCCACCCCTCCCCTCCCCCCCTCAATACCCAGCAGAAACTATTTTGCCCTTATTCTAATTTTGTTGTAGAGAGAGTATAAGCAATAATAGGAAGGAACAAGGGTTTTTGCTGGTTGAGATAAGGATAGCTATACAGGGCATTGACTCACATTGATTTCCTGTGCGTGGTGTTACCTTCTAGGTTAATTCTTTTTGATCTAACCTTTTCTCTAGTTCCTGGTCCCCTTTTCCTATTGGCCTCAGTTGCTTTAAGGTATCTGCTTTAGTTTCTCTGCGTTAAGGGCAACAAATGCTAGCTAGTTTTTTAGGTGTCTTACCTATCCTCACCCCTCCCTTGTGTGCTCTCGCTTTTATCATGTGCTCAAAGTCCAATCCCATTGTTGTGTTTGCCCTTGATCTAATGTCCACATATGAGGGAGAACATACGATTTTTGGTCTTTTGGGCCAGGCTAACCTCACTCAGAATGATGTTCTCCAATTCCATCCATTTACCAGCGAATGATAACATTTCGTTCTTCTTCATGGCTGCATAAAATTCCATTGTGTATAGATACCACATTTTCTTAATCCATTCGTCAGTGGTGGGGCATCTTGGCTGTTTCCATAACTTGGCTATTGTGAATAGTGCCGCAATAAACATGGTGTGCAGGTGCCTCTGGAGTAACCTGTGTCACAGTCTTTTGGGTATATCCCCAAGAGTGGTATTGCTGGATCAAATGGTAGATCAATGTCTAGCTTTTTAAGTAGCCTCCAAATTTTTTTACAGAGTGGTTGTACCAGTTTACATTCCCACCAACAGTGTAAGAGGGTTCCTTTTTCCCTGCATCCTCGCCAACACCTGTTGTTGGTGGTGTTGCTGATGATGGCTATTCTAACAGGGGTGAGGTGGAATCTTAGTGTGGTTTTAATTTGCATTTCCTTTATTGCTAGAGATGGTGAGCATTTTTTCATGTGTTTTTTGGCCATTTGAATTTCTTCTTTTGAGAAAGTTCTGTTTAGTTCACTTGCCCATTTCTTTATTGCTTCATTAGTTTTGGGAGAATTTTTTAAGTTCCCTATATATTCTAGTTATCAGTCCTTTGTCTGATGTGTAGCTGGCAAATATTTTCTCCCACTCTGTGGGTGTTCTCTTCAGTTTAGAGACCATTTCTTTTGATGAACAGAAGCTTTTTAGTTTTATGAGGTCCCATTTATCTATGCTATCTCTTAGTTGCTGTGCTGCTGGGGTTTCGTTGAGAAAGTTCTTACCTATACCTACTAACTCCAGAGTATTTCCTACTCTTTCCTGTATCAACTTTAGAGTTTGTGGTCTGATATTAAGATCCTTGATCCATTTTGAGTTAATCTTGGTATAGGGTGATATACATGGATCTAGTTTCAGTTTTTTGCAGACTGCTAACCAGTTTTTCCAGCAGTTTTTGTTGAAGAGGCTGCTATTTCTCCATCATATATTTTTAGCGCCTTTGTCAAAGACAATTTGGTTATAGTTGTGTGGCTTCATATCTGGGTCCTCTATTCTGTTCCACTGGTCTTCATGTCTGTTTTTGTGCTAGTACCATGCTGTTTTTATTGTTATTGCTTTGTAATATAGTTTGAAGTCAGGTATTGTGATACCTCCAACATTGTTCTTTTGACTGAGTATTGCCTTGGCTATTCGTGGCCTCTTGTGTTTCCATATAGTTTAACAGTAGATTTTTCAATCTCTTTAATGAATGTCATTGGAATTTTGATGGGAATTGCATTAAACATGTAGATTACTTTAGGGAGTATAGACATTTTTACTGTTGATTCTACCAATCCATGAGCATGGGAGATCTCTCCACTTTCTGAAGTCTTCCTTGATCTCTTTCTTCAGAAGTGTATAGTTTTCCTTGTAGAGGTCATTCACATCTTTTGTTAGGTTTACACCTAGGTATTTGATTTTTTTTGAGGCTATTGTAAATGGAATTGGTTTCATATATTCTTTTTCAGTTTGTTTATTATTAGTGTATAGAAATGCTAATGATTTTTCTATGTTGATTTTATATCCTGCTACCTTGCTGTAACTATTAATGATGTCTAGAAGCTTCTGAGTAGAGTTTGTTTGGGTCTTTAAGGTATAGGATCATGTTGTCTGCAAATAGGGATATTCTGACAGTTTCTTTACCTATTTGTATTCCTTTTATTCTTTCTTCTTGCCTAATTGGGTGTTTGATCTTAAAGAGCATGGTACCAACCCAAAATTCTGTGTTATTACTAGTTATAATTATCGTATATAATTGCCAAGAGTAGCAGTAGGAGCAGTAAAAATAGAAAACACTACATCACCTCAGACCTACAAAACCTGTTCATTTGCATGACGCCAAAGAAGCTGTATCTGTTGGGATGTTTGTTGTCCATTTCCCGGGTGTCTGGTGGCCCTGAATGTCAGAGTTATGGGGAACTCTGTTGGGCTACACTTGGCTATATTTGTGCTTCAGAGTCCCTAAGGAAAATTTTATAGCTATGGCTTTCTGGTCTTCTCCTGGACCTTAAAGCAAAATCTACAAGAAATGGGGTCAGAGCTTTGCACTTCAATGAGCTCCCCAGGTGAATTTAATGATCATCAGCGAATGGCATTTCTTAGACACTCTAAGATAAAAGATTTACCTAGGATAATACTCTGTTAGGGCCAGGGCCACCTCACTACACAAGCCACCTGGGTCTACACAAAACAACTCAGGAGCTCTGTTCACACTATATCCCACCCAAAGTGACCAGTGGGTCTGTTTATGTGTCTACACAATGCACCCAGTGGGTCTGTTCATGCTGTATCTGCACAAAATACCCAATGGGACCATTAATGCTATTCCCTACACAAAGCATGGTGCAGCACAAGTTGATCCTGAGCAGGTGCCCAACCAGGACACAAATCCATGCCTCTCACCTTGTGGTTCAGAAATGCCTTTATGTACCTACCAGTGGGACTTGCCTCCACCATGGGGATGCCAATGACTCAATGTATTTATTCTTCTACTCACAAGACCTTTGTCTCCAAGAATATTTGAGGCAATTTCTCAGTGGCAGCTCTATGACATTTGAGCTACACAATTCTTTCTGGTTGGCAGCTGTTCTGGGCATCGCTGGAGGTTT